TTAGATTTTTTAAAGAAATCTTCCAATTTTATCTATCCTTTTAATTTACTACCACCACATTTTTTATTATTACAGTACAACTTTAACATATCTTATATCTTACCCTATTTCTTTTATTTCCCACTCATACAATAATTTCAATAATGCCAGCAAAGATATCTGNAGTTTGTTACATCCANNAATGTACGGAGCGGCTTACACAAGAGTTCACTGTTAAGGAACTTACGACGGTGTCCAGNTTGGACACAAATGATCNGACCAAAGTCATTTACTTAAAANTAAAGGCTTTTATTCCTTCAGATCGAAGTATTGAAACTCAAATAGAAGATTTTGATATAGGGGATGTAATCTTTTTAAANGGAAAATTTATCGCCTNTTCTGGGTGGTATTNTGTAAGTATATTTATCTCATTTTTCCCTATTTCATTTTATTAATTTAATTTATTTCTCTCTATTAATATTAAAGGTCAATGCAACGTCAATAAAAGTATTGGAAGGTTTAGATTTTGATGTGATGNCATCAATCGGCCTGAACATTATTCACAAGACCCAGGGNTTGACTTTACCTAAAGTCTCCCTTGCCTTAGATGGAAATATTTTCTCCCTGGTCAGGCATATGTTGCCCTAAGCAGATGTTCTACCTGGGATAATGTCGACATNTCTCATCTTGACAGATCGGCTTTTATNGTTGATCCTGANGTTATTCCAGAATATGAAAGGTTAAACACAATCACCACAATCAATCCCCATATATTTTAGACCTCTCTCGCTACCCATAATGTGAATTTTAAATTGTAAAGTGATGATTCCCGAATNCTTCCAATTCTTTTACCAATATCAAATAGAAACCAATCAATTTACACTTTAAAAATGTTCGAATAAAAATTAATAAATTAATTAAAAATTAAAATTTTTATTTTATTTTATTTTCTTAATTTCCATACAAAAATTTACGCGTCTTCCTTTTTCGCTAATTCTAACTANTATAACATACACGAATCATTAACAAATCCTAAGTATCACGTTACTAAACCTTGTGATACAACACCTCATTCATACAGACGATACAGTATCTTAAACTTCATGCATAATACGGTGGGTATTGTGACAATAAAATACTGGCTAGTTTATAAGTAAAAATGCATTTAAAAATTTGAAAATTGCCTTATTTAATATGTTTATGCACAATATGCATGATTTTGCATAATTCTAAGTTTAAATTTTCAATTAGTATATTGAACCATACATACCATACATACCATACATGATGTCATTATACATACAATACATACAGCATTAACCATACACTACATGTTTGCTATATACCTGTATTATATACTACTGAGTCATGAACATTATTGATATAATATTACCATTGTCAAACAGATACTGACTAGAACAAAATTTCTTAAAAAGTCAGCATGTCTTACAAAAGAAATGTACAAATTACAAAAAAAGGATAAAATACCTTTATAAAATGAATAAAAATTGGATTTTTATTATAATTAGTCATTAAAAATTGTATTGTAACAAAGATATTTTACACATATTCTTGTTGCAATGATTTTTGTGCTAATATTATTAGTTAATTTATCATATAATGAAATAAATAAACCCATAAAAAAATCACTCTTTTTATTTAATTCTTTGACTGAACCTAGAAAAAAATTTACAAGAAATAATTCAAAATATTCAAAAAAAAAAAATAATAAAATAAATAAATTAAGTTAATTTAATATACAGTATGTTTTTTATTATATATTTAGATTTCTATTTTTAAACCTTGAAAATTTAATGTTTCAACTAAAGAAATTATTAATCAAATAAATACTGAAAAAACTATACATCATACAATATAAATAATAAATAGTTAATTTATAAAGTAAAAATAAAAGGAAATTGCTAAACATCACTTAGGTGATTGTCACCTAGGTGATCATCACCTGAGTGATCATTACCTGGATTTTTTTTTGAATATATCACATAATTTATAATATATAAATATATCTATTATTCGTTAACAATCATTAAATTGCTTAGTTAGTTTAGTAGTTAGAACACTAGATAATTTTTTTTATCTTAGAAACGCAGGTTTGATTCCTGCACTAGGCTTTAATTTTTTCAATTTTTTCATCATTTCAGAGTCGTGAAGTCACGTGAATTAAAAGGCACATTATGCAATAACACAAAAACACGTTATGATTTCAAATTTTTCATATGATATATCATATATTACACAGCATACTGAATGCCAAAATTAGTAAGAAAAAACAAATTTCTTCTAATCACTTCACTGAGTTTTCTTTGTTTTCTTTTATCACAGAATACAGAGTAATACCAATAACCAATGGATAATATGCATAATAAGTGCCACCTTTTTGAGGTGTATTCCTCAGCAGATGAAGAGATAGATAACATTAATGAGCTACAAGATGAATATGAATCTGAAAGTGTATCTAGCGAAGAAAAATGTCTGGTATTTGACTTTAAGAAAGGAGATGTATTTGAGGACTGGGACTCTGTTAAAAAATGAGTTAAAAGCTGTGCAAAAAATACTGGCTTTGAAGTGAAGAAGATTCAGCTTAAGAAAAACAAAAAAGGCAAGATTGTACGTCATACCTTTAGTTACAAGTTTTTAGGAGCATATCGTATACAGTAGAGAGCTGACACAAAAGATATCCGTGAGCATGAAAGTGTAAAATCAAATTATCCCTAGAATATTAACCTTCAACTCACTGGTGGCCTCATATATATTACCTCATTATGTAACGAACATAACCATTTTTTCACTGAAAAGGAAAATTTAGTATCAAATCGTCAACTTGAACCAGAAATTCTTGAAGAGATCCAATTTCTTGTAAATATTGGCTGTGAAGCAGGTCCAATTATCTGCGCACTCCAAAAATGTTTCCCTGAAACAGTAATACACCTAAAAAATGTATATAATGCAATTTGTTACTTTTGGAATGATCAGAAAAAAATTGAAAACAGATGTTGCTGAAACATTTGAAAGGCTAATGAAATTACAATGTGAGTAACATGAGTGGTTTGTCAAAGTGAGGTTGGAGGGTAAAGACAGCCATCTTATAGGTCTTTTCTGGATGAGACCATCACAGATAAAATTGTGATGAAGGTTTTATGATGTTGCGATCAATGATAACACATCATAAATGAATAAATATCGCATGTATTTATCCCTTACAATAATAGTAAATAATCATGCATGTTTACGTATGGTCACAACTGCCATTATATCAAATGAAACTAAAGAAAGCTATCAGTAGATTCTGAAATGTTTGCTGTCTACCACAAACAATCTTGTGCCAAATGTTTTATTCACTGATGCAGACCCCGCGATGGTTTCAGCTATTTACGAAATGCTGCCATCAACTAAACATAATTACTGTATCTGGCATCTGCACAAAAATTTTGACAAAAATCTAAGAGGTTGGCTTCATAAAAATTACAATAATTTTGTGAAAGCATGAAATAAATGCCAGAATTCCTTTTCAGAAAGTGAATTTCAAAAATGATGGCATGAACTTTTTGCTAGCTATCTAGTAGCAAGAAAATACTGTATAGTTCCGAAATTAAGCACACTTTTTTTGTTATAGGGATGCTTAATTTCNNTNTATANTTTTTTTAAAAAAATCATATTTATATTAATTTTGTATTTAGGATATCTTGTGTTCCAGTGATTAGAAATTAATGTAATTTAGCTCATTGGATTCGTCTCAATGAGAG